TAAGTACTGTGGAGTCGGTTCTGACTCATAGTGACCCTGCACAGGGTTTCCAAGGCTGTAAATCTTTATGGGAGCAGAATGCCTCATCTTTCTCCTGTGGAACTGTTGGTAGTTTTGAACTGCTGACCTTGAGGTTGGCAGCCCGACTTGTAACCACTATGCTATATTGTCCTGTACATACCCACAATTCATTCATTTATTCCCCATTCATCCATTTGGCATTTACTCAGTGCTGAATCAGACACACTTCCTAATCTCAAGGAGGGAAGGGACCATCTCTTTCCAGATGAATCAAGGAAGCATCCTTTGGTCTGGACTTTTACAGATTTCAACAGGCAGAGATGAGGTCTGGGCAGTCCAGGCAGAGGGAATGACATAGCAAAGGCTCAGCGGTAGGAAAGTCAATATTATGTTTAAGGAAGGGATAGTGAGGCAGCTAGGGTGGTTGTTGGGTGCATAGGGTCCTGGCAAGAGGACGGTGTAAGGCTGGACAGAAAGGGAAAGCCTAAAATGGCTGGTTAAGGTGATAGGTAACTATCGAAGGTGCTTGACATGGAAGGGAATGATTGTAGCCATCTTAATAAGACCAGTCAGATGGACTTTTGAATAGAAGGCTCAGAGATCAGACCATAGGTGTTGCCCCAGCACCTATAATCAGGATCTGAGTTGGGAGGGGCACACGGGAAAAAGGAAGACCAGACAAAGAAACTCATTGTTGTTGTTGTTAAGTGCCGTCGAGTCGGTTCCGACCCATAGCGACCCTGTACAGGATTTCCGAGGGTGTAAATCTTTATGGGAGTAGAAAGCCTCATCTTTCTCCCACGGAGCGGCTGGTAGTTTCGAACCGCTGACCTTAAGGTTCGCAGCCCGATTCGTAACCACTATGCTACCAGAGCTCGGGAATAAGAAAGGACCATCTCTCTTAACATTTGCTAGGTCAGTTTTCTCACCATGTGGCTGATTCAACAGCAACCAGAGTCAGTAACACTTACTGAACACATATTATGGACCAGGTATTTAAGTATGTTACATACATTTTTCATTCACTCCCCCCAAAATTGCATGAGGTAGGTACTATTAGTATCCCCATTTTATAGATGAGATAACTGAGACACAGAGAGAATGTTACATGACTAAGATCTTTTAGCTGGGGCTAGGGTTTGAACTCAGATAACTATCTTGCGAGCTCATGCTGTAATTACTACATCAAAGCCTATGATGTCCCTGCCTCTCTGAGCATCCCAGACTTCTAACAGGGCCCTGGGAATGGAGGCAGGACCCAGGACTATAAAGCCAGTGAGTGCCCGAAGGTTGAGATGTCCAGAGAGCTGGGCCACCTGAGGCATAAGGAGGACTGTCCCTCTGAGCTGGACGAGGGGCCCACTCCAGGTTCCTTCCGTGGCCTCCCTGCTAAGGCTCTCTTGAGTGTGGGGTAAGACCCACCAGACCCTACCATCCCAGCACACTGGCATTAACAGTTCTGCCTCCCCAGCAAGAACAGCCCAGCATTTAGGTCATGAAGGGATGGACTTTATTGACAATAGAGAAGGCAGAATTCTGGGCAAGTACACACAGCACTGCTCAAAAGTCCAGGCTCAGGACCAAGGGCTTTCTTGCCTCAGAGGCCATGGTCACCCCCACCATCCTGAGCTTCAGCAACCCAAATATGCCCATGGCCAGTCTCTGAACCGAAGGTAAGTGGCAGCCGCAGGTAGGGAGCCAGAATCCAAGTTTGGGGTAAGGCCTGCAGCATGGGTCAGGTTCCGGGACCCCTTTTTCCCAGGCTCCCAGGAAGGGGGACAGAATGGGGTCAGGTAGACTTAGAAGCCCCAACTCATGGAACCCTCACTCAAAAGGCTAGTGTTGGGAGCCAGGGGCAGGGGGCACAGACCCCATTTCCTCTTCTCTGTGCCAGAACACTTGTCTTCCCATGACATGAAATTCCCAGGGCTCAGCCAAGCAAAGCCTTTTCTTGTCACTTCTCCACTTCTGTCTCCCCACCTCTGGCCTGCATCTGCCCCTCAGAGGGGAGCCCTGGCTATCTTCAGCCTGTCCCTGGCTGTGTATGCACCAGGGCTCCAATTCTCCAGCTAGGATGCGTTCTCTCATCAACCGCCCTCTCTGCTGGCTGGCCCACCTTAGCCCATCATGCTTCCTGGGACCAATCAGGGCTGGAGCCTGACCACAGACAAGTCTCGGTACCACAGAAACAAAGCAGCATTATTCTTCCCCACCCAGCAGTGCAGCTTGTGGTGGTGAATCCTAGAGGTCTCAGACTGGCTGGAGACTCTCAGTTCTGGGTCCCAGCACCTCCCACAGCCTCATACTGGGTGGGTGGGGTGTGAGCCAGTCCTGAACTGGGCTGGGAGGAACAGGGACAAAAATAACCCAGTACAAGCTCCTACTGAAGCCAGAAATAGCTTAGTGACAGTGCCTTGTAACACCGTGGGTGAGCAGTAGAGGGGGAGGCTGAGTTGAAGAGGACCCAGCCTCACAGGTCATGGCCTGGCCACAGGGTCCACACCATGTCCACTCTATCGACCATGCACACTGCCCATGTGCAGTGTGTGTGGGGAGCCTAAAGATCCATGCCTCAGGACAGGGCATCTGGAGAGATGCTAAACTTGGGTTTGGTCTTGGCCACAGCCACACTGCGCTTGCGCAGGGGCCCACGGGCTGAGGCAAGGGGCAGGGCATCCAACAAGCTGCGGTCATCATCAAGCTGATGGGCTGTGTAGAGTGGTGTGGGCACTTTGACGGTGTTACCAAACTTGGAGTAGTCCACAGAGTAGCGGCCATCCTCTTCAGCTACTATGGGCACAAAGCGCTGGCCCCACAGGATCTCGTCGGCCAGGTAGGAGGTGCGGGCCTGGGTGGTGATGCCCGTGGTTTCCACTACACCTTCCAGAATGACAATAATCTCGAGGTCCTGGTGGTGGTGCAGGTCACTGGGTGCCAGGTCATAGAGTGGGCTGTTGGCATCGATGACATGGTAGATGATGAGTGGAGCTACTAAGAAGATGCTGTTGCCCCCCACACCATTCTCCATGGGGATGTCCACCTGATGGAGAGGCACCACTTCGCCCTCAGGGCTGGTGGTCTTGCGCACCACCTGCATGTGGATGGTGGCACTGATGATCATGCTCTTGCGTAGGTCGCCCACGCGTAGCATAAAGCAGAGACGGCCCTGGCGCAGGGCGATGACGGCATGCTTACTGAAGATGAGGGTCTCAGCCCGACGGTGAGCCTGGGCAGTCTTCATGAAGATGCAGCCCAACATGATGGCATTGATCATGAGCCCCACGATGTTCTGCACGATGAGGATCAGGATGGCCAGTGGGCACTCCTCAGTCACCATGCGCCCGCCAAAACCAATGGTCACCTGGACCTCGATGGAGAAAAGGAAGGCGGACGAGAAGGAGTGGATGCTGGTGACACAAGGCACAGGGCTGCCCTCACCGGTGGCTAGGTCACCGTGGGCGAAGGCGATGAGCCACCAGACCATGGCAAAGAGCAGCCAGCTGCATAGGAAGGACATGGTGAAGATGAGCAACGTGTGGGGCCATTTGAGGTCCACCAGTGTGGTGAAAACGTCCTGAAGAAAGCGGCCCTGCTCACGGATGTTCTTGTGGGCCACGTTGCAGTTGCCCTTTTTGGACACGAAGCGGGCCCGCCGCTCTCGGGCACGGTATCGGGGCTCCGCAGGGTCCTCCGCAAGCCGAGTCAGCATATACTCCTCCGGGATGATACCCTTTCGGGAAAGCATAGCTCCAGCGGTCCCCTGGGAGGGGATTCCCCCATAGGAAGTGCCCCTCTGATCAGACCTAGGATCCTTGAGCGGACCTCACTCTGGGGTCCCTTCCTTGGCACCCTCTCACTCCGGGACCACTCAGCCTGTGCTGACCTCACTTTGGTCTCTTCCTCACCTCCACGTGGGCCCTGCTTCCCTTCTCTACACCAGCCTCAAACCTCAGTCCACCTGCCAGTGTCTACTGATCCTTCCACTCCGCTGATTCCCTCCTAGCCTTGGATCCTAGCTCAGCACCTCCGCCAGCAAACCATCCCTGGACCTCCCCTTAATAATCCTCCCCACCCAATCTTTCTTTCCAACCCACCTCCAAACTTATCACCTCCGGGTCGTACTAACTCAATTAATCAGACTTCACTCAACGCCCACCCAGTCTCCTGTTTCACCTACCTCTGCCCCTCCATCTGCTCCCCTCCAAGCTTCTATTTCATAGCCTGACCATCTCCTGTTTCACTTCCAGATCTGCCCCAATTTCTCCCGGTAAGGCTCCCGCTGCTCTTCGGACCTCCCTTCAGCTTTCACCTTCTCCGTCTCCTGGGGATCCTGCGCCCTCAGGACTAGCCACCCAGCCCGGTTCCACTCCACTCGCCCCCTGCGCGACCTGACCGGGCTCACCGAAAGTCGTGGCCTCCCAGCTCCCGGCCGTCCGCAGCCCCCGCCCGGAGCGCGTCCTGCCCCTCCCGCTCGTGACCGCGGCACCTGCTCCCGCTCCTCAAGCTTCCAAAGCCTCCGCCGCCTCCCACCCCCTCCGGCCGCCCCGGCGCTTTAGGCGGGCCGGCCTCTCGGCCGACCGTCCGTCCTTCAGTCCGTCCTTCTGTACATCTATCCACGGAGTCAGACCTGTGCGAGGTGGGGCTGGAAGATTTCGGGTGGGGGGGCGCCCGAAGAGTGGGGCTCGGGGGCCGCCAGGGGGAGCCCGGCCTATTCTCGAGCCGGAGGGAGGGCGGGCCCAGCGCTGGCACCGCCCCTCCTGGCCTTCTCCCGACTCAGTCAGGCTCTCAGAAAAGGGGGGGAGTGGGATGCGAGTCACCTCTCGGTGACTTCCACGGCCCCTGCCGCCCCCTCCCTCCTTACCAGACTTTCCCCTCCGCTGTTGGGTCAATAACCCCCTCCAGCGCAGCGCGGCGTTCCGCGAGTCCCCAGGGCAAGGAGGCACTGAGAGCCTGCGCCACGGATTGGGTACTGGCTAGAGAGAGGAGGTTAGGTGGACCAAAGACGTCTCCGGACCTCATCTTCCTTTTGGGGGATGTTCTTAATTCTTTCTGGGGCATGGACGCTTTCAGAATCTGATGGAAGCCATGAACTCTCCCCAGATGATTATATGCCTTAGTAGATGTAGGAGCATAGTTTTTAACATTCACTGCAAGCGATGCTAAGGAGCTCTGGTAGCGTCGTGGTGGTGATGTGCCGTGGAGTCAGTTCCGACTCATAACGACCCTGCATAGGGTTTCTGAGGCTGTAAATCTTTACGGGAGAAGAAAGCCTTTCTTTCTCATGCGGAACCGCTGGTAGTTTCGAACTGCTGACCCTGAGATTAGCAGCCTATCTGGTAGCGTAGTGGTTACGAATTGGGCTGCTAACCTCAGGGTCAACAGTTTGAAACTACCAGCTGTTTCGAGGGAGAAAGATGAGGCTTTCTGCTCCCGTAAAGATTTACAGCCTCAGAAACCCTGTACCTGTACAGGGTTGCTATGAGTCGGAACCGACTCCACGGCACATAACCACCACTACAGGCAATGCTAGATACTCTAGCCCAGAAACTGAGGAGGTTGAAGACCTCTTTTCCCACCCCACCCCTGCATGTTATAGAGGGCCTGAGCCAGTGACACTTGGCTTTTCCTCTCCTCAAACAAGAACCTGTTTCTTCCACGCTCCTGTTTCTTCCACGCTAGGTAATAGGAGGTGACTGAGTGTGGGTGGCTGTATTTGGGCTGACTTGGGTACCCAGGCTTTTGGCTGGGGACACGGGTGAGTTTTCCTTTGTAAGCATCAGCCTACAGTTGCCCTATGGCCTGGGCCCAGGATGCATCTCTCTTCACAGCTGGGAGGGAAAGCTGTTGGCCTCTCTGTTGTTGGAGTCGTAACAGCCCCACCCCATCTAAGCCTCAGATACTTATGGAGAAACCCCTGATCCATGTGTGGCATTTTTGGAATGGGAACTGAAGGGAGCTGGAAAATAAGGGCATTTGGGGATGTGGGTCACAGCAGGGACAGGGGCTGACTTTACTATTGAGTTTTTTTTAATATAAGTTTTTACAGTGAGGTTTACATGGGAGAACATCAGCTTTACACTCATCCTATCATATTTCATTTCATTGCAGTGATTACAATCCCCTCCATGCATCATCATATAACCCCAAACGGTACACTACACAGGCCCGCCCTCATCCACCCCCACCCCGGCTGCCAACACACAGCCCTTCTCGCTCCCTGAGTCCAGTGTCCCCAGCCGCTCCATCTGTCTGTGTCATCAGCTCTGTCTCCATCCCTGGTGTCACTGCCTCTCAGGGTAGGGTACCGCTCTCTGCTCTTCTCACTTGATGGTCCCAAAGACCACCGCTCCTGGGCTGCAAAATCAACCACTCTCCTCCTTTTGTCAAAAAACATTTACATCCATATTTCCTAGCCTCACAGTCAGACCTGATGGCATTACCACAAGAGTCTTATCCCCATTTCCTTTTGCTGGCCCGGTCCCAACGGATTGGAAATCATTCAGTGGTGATTCTACTTTCCCCTACCCCACCTAGAACTAGGCTCCCTCTTGAAAGCTTGTAAGCCAGTCACTTCTTGCCTTTATAGATCCCCTCCCCCCCGCCCCCCCATTTTTGGGTAGCCAATGAATATGTTGTGTACTGAGGGGGGTGGGAGTGATCTTTGCTGTGATTTTTGTTCCCCTTTTTGAGCTACTACATCCATAAGTATAGGTAAAGATGATCAAGTTGTAGCAGGTTACTGTCCTCCCCCCCCTCCCCCACTTCTTTCTTCTTCTAGTTGAGTTCTGATCATCCAGCCATCGAAGCCAGGTCAAGTTGGTACTATCTGCAAGTATGTGTGTTCTTGTGCATCTTCCCTCACATCATATCAGCTGGATGCTTCACTGTCCACTCTAGTCCTCTGTGGCCATGTCACTGCCTCTGGGCCCAGGAGTCTCTGGGTCTTGCCATACTGCTGGCCATCCAGGTCTCCACACGGGTACACGTGTCTACTGAATGTGGTCAGGCTTAGCTCACAACTCCATTGCTGCTTTTCCCCCCTCTTCCCTTATCAGTGACCAAAGTGGTCACCAGCCAGACCACATGCCTGCTCATGTATTCCCCTTGAGTCTCAGTCTTGGAAGGGAGTTTGCTCTGAGGGGTCCCGACCACTTGCTTTGATGGCTCCTGGGTGAACAGCTTACTTGTTCTTGTAGTGATCAATCAGACTGCCGTGATTGTTTCGGATTTTTTCCTGGCAATCTTTCTTTCATGAAGTATCTTCTGTTCTTCTAGCCGCTCCAGGCTGGTCTACTAGTCCTTTCCAGTGGAAATTTCCTACCTCAGTTGGTTCCAGATGGGGATCTGGATTCCTCCTATGGTCTTGTGCAGTGTAAATGCTCCACAGGAAGCCTCTTTCACTGGGCAACTGCTACCCCCCTTTAAGGTATTCCAATCAGAAATAGGCTGAAGAAGGACTTACAAGCTTTTTGTAGTGATGATTCTGGCTATTCCTTTTTCCCCACCTCAAATGTCTATTTTACAATGGTAGGCAAGAGAAACCAAGATTCAAAAGACAGCCAAGCATCTTAACACTATTTCCCTCTTTTACCCTTTCAAACCGTGCCTCAATCCCTGTATCCCAGAGCTCTGTTGTTCCAAGGTTGTGCATACATCATCATTTACCCCTGTCCCACTTAGCCCTTACGAGCCTGCCTAACTGTTCTCCCATCCACCTTTTTCTTCCATTCCCCTCCCCCTTCTTGTGTATTGCCCCTCCCCAGACCTTCCCCCTGCATCCAAGCTATCCTGTGTCTATTCCTTACTCTGTGCTCTATCTTCCCCTCCCTTCCTCCCCTCCTTCCCTCCTCTCATCCCATACATCCTGGTGATCAGCAAATATATATATAATTCCCCCCCCCCTTTTTTTGTGTGGGTTCTTTTTCTTACTCTTTTACAATAATGGTCTTATGCAGTATTTCTCCTTTTGTGACTGACTGATTTCACTCAACATGATGTCCTCAAGGTTCATCCATGTTATGTGGTGGCTTGCAGCTTCCTTGTTCTTCAGGGTAGCATAGTATTCCATTGTGTGTATGTACCACAGTTTGTTTATCCATTCTTCAATTGATGGGTACTTAGGCTGTCTCCATTTTTTTGCTATTGTAAATAGTGCTGCTATGAACATTGGTGTGCATATAACTACTTGTGTTATGGCTCTTATTTTTTGTGGGTAAATACCAAGGAGAGGAATTGCTGGATCATTAGGTATTTCTATTTCCAACCTTCTGAGGAAACGCCATATTGCTTTCCAGAGAGGTTGGACCATTTTGCAATCCCACCAGCAATGCGGGAGCATCCCAGTCTCTCCACATTCTCGCCAGCACTTATTGTCCTCTACTTTTTTGATCTTTGCTGTTATTGCTGGTATGAGATGATATCTCATTGTTGTTTTGATTTGCATCTCTCTAATGGCTAGTGATTGTGAATATTTCCACATATGGTTGTTGGCTGCCCGGATCGCTTCCTTGGTAATGTGTCTGTTCATGTCCTGTGCACATTTTTAAATTGGGTTATTTGACTTTTTCTTGTAGAGGTGTTGTAGTTTTCTATATATTTTAGAAAGGAGTCCCTTGTCTGATGTGTCATTGCAAAAGATTTTTTCCCATTCTGTGGGTTCCCTTTATACCCTTCTGGTGAAGTCTTTTGATGCACATAAGTTTTTAATTTATAGTATGTCCCAATTATCTATTTTGTCTACTTTTATTTGTGTAATTTTGAAAATGTTTGGCAGTCTGTGTATTCCCTTTATTACAGCCCTCACATTTATCCCTATTTTTTCATTGATGACTTTCACAATTTTGGGATTCACATTTAGGTCTTTAATCCATGCTGAGTTGGTTTTTGTATAGGGCGTGAGGTAAAGGTCTTGTTTCAATCTTTTGCATATTGCTTTCCAG